GGATTTCTCCCTCTGCTAGTGCATCTCTCATGAGCCTTGAATCTATGTGTCACAGAGGTCCAAAAGAGGTCGATGGCAACCACATTGCCATGTAATTTGGTATGGAATCAGTGGGAGACTATGGCATTTCTACCCTGGTTTGGCCCTCTTTTTTAGGCAAGACACTTAACCTCTATGCCTCACTTTATAAAAACGGTTTCCTCAGTTTCCTCATTTTATATATATAAAAAAAAAAGTGGGCCAGAAAAACAAACTGATCTAAAATATCAGGATTTTTGAAGCACTAATTAATGTTTCCCTACAATCACTTGGAAATTATCTGAATTACTCCAGTTTACCTAAAAGTTTTCATCAACACTTGAAGTTGGAAAGAACTTAAGTTTCGTCTCTTCATTTAATCCAATTATTCCATCCCAAACTGCCAGATCCCCAGAGGTCCACAAAGGTGATAAACCCATCATTGTATTTACTATTTCCATAGCCAAAAAGACAATCACTCTTTGCTTAGAAGAAAATATTTTTTATTACTTGATAAACATGCATAGTGGTTTAATCTATCAATAAACCTTGGTAGGAAAATACAATCCTGAGCATATATACAAGTTGAGAGTTACTCGAGTGGTCTGATTCTTCATTTTAAAAGGAAGGAGCTGAGTCATAGAAAGAGCAAGTTGCTGTATCACAAAGATTAGTGATACCATTCCCAATCAAGAAAAGAGTGCTTCCTATTAACTTGGACTCCACTCTTGATGAAGGATGCCTTGAGAATTAAATATCTGAATGAGAACCTGCTTAGTAGATCATCATTAAACTTTAGGTGGAAGGTTGGGGGATTGTTAAAAACTTCTTCCTAACTTAATAGTATTGGTACAAATCCTAAATATGGCATCACTTAACTTCTTGGAGCCTTTGTTTCTTTACCTGTGAATGTCGATTTTATACTTACAGAGTTTCTGGGGGTGGGGGGGGTGGGTAGAATGATTTGATGATTGTGAAATCGCTAAGTAACTCACAATATCGATTGTCCTTAAGTGTAAAGTACTTTAACAAATGGATATATGTGGGTGGGAAAGGGGGTTGTAACCAGATCCCTACCTAAAATACATAAGATTATCTTTATTTCCAGATAAAAATCACATATTCAATGTATATAACCTTAGCTGGACTCTACTTCCCCATGGTAACTAAGTCTAGGACACCACAGGAGTTTGCTGCCTCTTCCTATTCATTTGCTTAATAGAGTTTCTTACTGATTTGATAGAGTTACTTTTTGGCCTGGATCTAATTCCTACTTGTTTGCAGACATCTGCTAGATTTGTGAGTCATTCACACAATTACAATGCAAGTCAGTGATTGCAATGATCTTGGCCATAATGCAGGCTGGGCCCCAGCTGGGAACTCCAAAACTCTGGATTCTCCTTCCTTTGTTCACATTCTTGGTTACCATGAGGCATATTTGGAATGCACACCAACTACATAAGAAAGGACCTGCTGTCTGAAATATTCAGGGGATATCTTTACTGCATTCTTCCTGAAAGTTAGGAAAGTATGATGTAATCTCACTTTAACCATCTAAACATGGTTAGAGATGCCAAGGCTTGTGCAAAGGTCATGCCAACATTCTTTCTTGCTCTCCATTAAAAAAAAAAAAGAAAATCCTGTTTCGAAGCCTGGCTTTTTATCAGAAACGTAACAGTGTCTCCTTTGTTATACCATATTAGCTTTTTTCCCCCAAGTAGCTTCATTTTCACAACCACATTTACATTTGTGCTCTGAAATAAATATAAATGCTAGCTGCTAGTTTCAAATAATCAAATAAATCAATAACATTGACAAGAGGAATGTCTGTTTTGCCATCTGCTTGCAGCTGCTAAAATTTCCAGAGGCATCTTTAGGACTCTTTGTATCAGTTGACAGAAATGCTTGTCTTCTCATTGAACAGTTGCTTTGCAGATTTGAAGGAAATAATTGGGCAGGTCTAATGATAAACATGAATTTCCTAAGTTTAAGATATTTTCCAAAATATATATCGGCTGAATAATACAGTGTTTTGTAGTCTTCCTTTCAGCTTCCATTTTCATGAGATTTTTAGATACTATTCAGAAAATGAGGATAGATTTTCCATTTCAGAGATGTGCACAGTTATGATTCTTTTTTACTCTTGTTTCATTCTACCAACCATGTGAGAGATTTAAGTTTTGTATAGAATAAATGATCTCCTGAAAAAACCTACTTTTTTGTTTTTAAAATATCAACTCACATAACCATATTGTTCAACTATCAGTTTAAATTGCAACTGATTATTTTGGAATTTTGTTCCATCTGGTGAACTGTCTATGGTAAGGCTAATCTTTGGTTCATATTAGCAAGTGTTATAGAAATTTTTGTTACTTTAACAATTTCCTCTTCTATTCACTATTTTACGTCAAGTCCTGTACTATCAATATTGGACCAATAAATATGTGTCTCAGTTTTTTAATCATGTATAATATATGCTAAAGCTAACGTGGAAACATTCTGAATCAGTCCTTTGGCATCCAAGTATTCAAATTTATTTATATGGGGATGTTAGTGAATAAATTATTTCAGAGGCCATGCTAGGAATTGCCTAAGGTTCCCATATAGTTTCCATATGTTTCTAATACCAACTATTCTTGAAATTATTTTGAAATTGAAGAACAATTTGAAATTGGCATTCCCCACTTAAATTTGTCCATGTCTTATCTGTCAACTATCTTTAAGTTAATATTCCATGCCAGAAACATTTCTTTCATTCGTGTTTCATATTTTACTGCATATATGGGTATGAATAAATAATGTTACATTGTACTTTTTAAATTGACATCAAGAAAATAGAGAAATAGGATTCTTTTTTTTTTATTATTATTATTTTTAACATTTATTTATTTTTGGGACAGAGAGAGACAGAGCATGAACGGGGGAGGGGCCGAGAGAGAGGTAGACACAGAATCTGAAACAGGCTCCAGGCTCTGAGCCATCAGCCCAGAGCCCGATGCGGGGCTCGAATTCACGAACCGCGAGATCGTGACCTGAGCTGAAGTCTGACGCTTAACCGACTGAGCCACCCAGGCACCCCTGAGAAATAGGATTCTAAGATGACAAACAGGGCCACAAATCATGGATAATCACTTAATGGACCTGGCTTCAATTTGAAAAGCTTATTTACTTTTTAAGCTATATAAGATAATTTCTTATATCATTAATATTCTCCTTTTTTCTTTTATTGTAATTTCTATCATTCTAAGAAAATATGACCTTTCTCTTAAATATATTCTTTCATTTACTCATACTTCTTGAGTACAATTATCACAACTAGAAAAAAGCCAAAATAAAATATCTGAACTAGTTAATGCATGCTTAATTACTAAATTGCAAGATAACCAGCTTATAAGTAATTATTTTAAATTGCATGACATGGAATTTATCAATTAAAAATTACAAAATGGTCTATATCTCCTCTTCAGTGATAATATTCCATTTCCAATTTTTGTTTTGTGCATTCACCTTCATATTTCTATTGAGAGGAAACAGAGAATTATGTAAAATTTTAATTAAAAATATTACTGGGTGCCTGGGTGGCTCAGTCAGTTGAGTGTCTGACTTTGGCTCAGTTCATAATCTCACGGTTCGTGAGTTCGAGCCCCATGTCCGCTTGGTGCTCACAGCTCACAGCTCACAGAGCCTGGAGCCTGCTTCCGATTCTCTCTCTCTCTCTCTCTCTGCTCCTCCCCCACTCGTGCTCTGTTTCTCACTCTCTCTCAAAAATAATAATAAATAAAAATATTTTAAAAAATATATTACCTATGCTAGAATCTGAAGAACACCAGAAAATGTCAAATGGAATTTGATAAAATGAAGATCAGGATAATATTTTTAATAAAGTAAAAAATAAAAGAAATTAGATAGATGATTTCAGGTTACTATTTTCCCACAAAATATAGTAATTTATACAAAGTTGATTTGGATACATCTTTGCTGAATTTTCTGGTTTGTTGCCTTAATTATGCCTTATATAATTTAATAGACTTTGTTAACTATGAACAGAATAGCATTTTCTTGGATATTGTATTGTCTTTGAAAACAATACAATACATTGGACTAAATAAATTAAGGACTGTATTTAGTATGATCAAACTAATTACTGGCAATTCAAATGTAAAATAGCATTATTTTAGTTAGCAGTAGAATAGCTTTCATTGATTGAAAGGGGTTAATATATTTCCTGATGTTTCTAGTTTCTAATAACCTTATACTAATAAACATTTCTGACCATTTATAGTTTACGAAATGATTCCCAACGCATCATTTTATTCGAGACTCACAACTAGCTTGTGAGTAGGTGTCAGGGATACTATATCCATGTTAAATAGTTGGAGAAACTGACACTTGAATTTGTTAAATTACTTGCTCAAAGTCACACATCCACCAAGTATAGAACTGGGAACCATAAACCCCATTTTTCTGCCTCAAGATCCTGGAACTTTTCTATAATGCCATGACGTTGTATAGAGAAATCAAAGTAATGTAAACAACTTGATATCAGGAAATAAACAATTCTAGAGTCTCAAAAATCATCACAGTAAGTGGTATGTTTCTGCTAAGATTATAACAAAATGAATTCTATGTAGTTCCCCATTTTAATATTAATTTTCTTCTGACCTACAGGACAGTGTTATATGAATGTTGCCCTGGTTATATGAGAATGGAAGGAATGAAAGGCTGCCCAGCAGGTAAAATTTCAATTACTGAAATAAATGAGGAGCTTGTCTTGTGTGAAGAAAGAGATTTGAGGTAGCTTAGCCTGTAGAGAACCCAATTTTGTGTATGAGTGCATGTGCGTGTGTGTGTATGTGTGTGCATTTAGCACCATAATAAATCCAAGATAAACCACCAATATCTTTGTGTTAATCATGAATTTGTCATGGTGATAAAGTATTAAAACCTACTGCTCATGCACTGAATGTTAGACCAAACAATAGGAGCTTGGTCGTAACTTCAAATTAGTTCAATTTTCCTTCAAGAATGAAAATCCTCTCTACAAAATCCTTGTCTTTGAATTTGTTTACAAACATGGAGTGGACTAGTTGGAAAGGCATAATCTCTAATTGAACAGCTCTGATCTTATAACGTCCCTCATATTGAAAGCTGGTTTCCTATAACTGCCAACTGGAGAAAAAAGTTAATCTATTTCCTCTTTGAAACAACTTTGAAAAAACGTTCATATATTTAATACCAATCATCACATACTTCCTCCACTATCCTCCTTTCCCCAACAGACTCTTCTCTTCTCTGGGCTAAGCATCCCCAGTTCTTCTAATATAACATAAACTTTGGAGCTGTCACCATCATGGACACCAACACATAAAAAGCCTCTAGTCCAGTCATCTTTTTTCTGAATCTGATCCCAGACTGGTGTCTGCAATCTATGTGGGTCCCAGCATCTGAGAGAATATCATCAAGACAAATTCTTCACTTTTGGGGGCCCCTGAACTTTGGTTACTATCATTGGTAACCACATGCTATCATCAGCTCCTAATGAATTTATGATCAGTTAAAAATTGATTACAGTTCTTTCTATCGAGTTGGGTATTTCTCTAGGATTTGTTTTTCAACTTCAAGTCTGGCCTGACTATGAATACTATCAAGTCAGCTCTTTTTCTAGGATTTATATTTTCAGCTTGGGCGTAAAGATATACATGGAACTCTGTTACATTTAACTTGTTAATCTTGACTCATTTTCCTCATCCTTTTGGGGTCTTTGAAATTCTGATTTTATAATTTGATTATTAATTGTGTCACCCAGTCTTGATATATTCACAAATGTAATAACCACTTCTCCTATGGTATTATTCAAATAAGATAGGGTCAAAAAATGAATAAATAGGCTGTACCAACTTTCAGGTTGATATTCATATATTAATATTTCTTCTGAAGTTCAGGAAAAATACTCTGGAAGTGTTAGATACTTCCATCTATTTCCTTCCTGAAATTATGCTCAAAAGAAGCAGGTCTACGTATTTCTTTTAGAAATCCAAATCTGTAAAAATTAATAACCCAATACCTAACAATATTATACCATTTAAGAGCCTTAAGCCAACATAAAAGAAAATATTACCTTTGCCCATTCTTTTAGTGAGAAGTGAAGAGCATATTCTTCTGTTCAGTGAATCAGAAATATTTATTGATACTTATAATTGAACTATTATTGACATAAGAGGAGTCAAACCTACATAGAGTAAGTGTTATACCAAGATGATAATTTAAAATTCATTTTCCCTCAACATGAAAGATATATGAAATAATAGTTTTCAGTGGTGTTTTATCATCTAGCACTCCAGTGACAATCTTTGTATAAAACTGATCATTCATGCAGAGAATTTTATTGCTAAAATTTTCAGTTAAATGTATTGAGGAACTTAGTATAAAGTTCAAATGATTGTGAAATAATATTCTTGAAATATTATTCTAAGACCTTGATTTCTTGATTATTTCAGTTATGCCTATTGACCATGTTTACGGCACTCTGGGCATCGTGGGAGCCACCACAACACAACGCTATTCTGATGTCTCAAGACTGAGGGAAGAGATTGAAGGAAAGGGATCATTTACTTATTTTGCACCGAGTAATGAGGCTTGGGACAACTTGGATTCTGTAATTCACTATTTTTATTAATATAATTATTTTTATTGTAGTTATTGCATTTGAATGGATTTATTAACTTGGAAATTAATAGAAATTTTATATCTTTTTATAATAGATACATGAGGATACATAATAGGATGAGTTACTAAATGTAAGGAGTAAAGTATTTTAATACATCCATAAGTGGAATAACTTACCCAGTAGGTTCATAGACCAATTAAGAAAGGGAAAACCAAGAGTGGACTGAACTGGTGTTTGTCGTTATTCTATTTTACTCCTATCCTCTTTCTTTTTTGATGGGAAGAGATTTATTGAGTTTTAGATGACATATCAAATAGAACAGTAAGTTAAGAAGCCTAGTGGAATTTAAAATTTATTATAAAGGCATATTCTAGAGATGCAATTAATTACTTTTAATTATATGTAAATATATATGGCTGCTCAGACATTGACATATGTATATATGTGTAGGAATATTTAAATGAAATATTGTAAATAATGCATTTGATTTTCACATTTTTTGTGCATAATCTGCTTTATAATACACTAAATTTCTAATCTGTAAAATTAGTATGGAAATATATTTCTACTTTCTATTTGATATGAAGTTGAATTGATAATTACCACTAGAGTCAAATATTTAGTAAAACTTAGGCAGATTCCTCTAGATATTATCTTGCTACATTAACTGTATGTTTAATTGCTTGCGATATGGAACTCTCTCTTCTGGTTGTCTTTGACCTCATCTCTTAACCACCTTTCTGGTTCTTTTTGCTGACTCCTCTTCTTCCTTCCTTAAGAATGGGTCTTATTAAAGTCCCTACTAGGAATTAGACTCTGTTCTTTATATATACTTCTGATGACTTCAACTATGACTTTAGCATGTATAACCATGAAATCTGTTTCTGTAGTTGCTCTCCTTGGAAACCCAGGAGAGTATTTCTAATGTCCATTTTAATATCTCCCCTTAGATACACTGCTGCATCTTTAAACACAAAGGTATCTAAGAGAATGCTATTTTCTTTCTTCACATAAACATTTGCTTTTCTTCTGGCTTCCCCCAGTCTCCCCCCCATAATTGGGAGTATCAATCTTAGTATTCAGACTTGAAAATTGTTAGTCATCTTATTTCTGTTCTAATTCTTACAAACTATTATTAGTTACCTATATCTCAAGTTTCATCCTCCTAATTGATACCTCCTTTATGCTATGCATTATCACTATATTAACCTTCCTAAAGCCCAGTTTAAACATTATATTCCAATGCCACAAAATCTTCGGTGGCCCTTTGTTGCCAGTTTAGTTTATACTTTAGTCAGGCATTAAAGTCTTCCACATTATTGTCCCACATACTTTTCTAAAATTCTTTCTTAATATTATCTAAGAAAGATAAAAGTATGTGCTAACCAAACTGGACAACATCTGCTCTCCCAAATTTTACCCTGTGTCAGCAACTGGACTTCGAATGATCACCACCATTCTTACCCTGTCTACCCTTCAAGATCTATTACCAAGCCTTGAATAGCTGCTCTTCCTCATTTGACGCCTAGCAGCATTTTTTTCTCCTTCTATTCTTTATATTACTATGTTTATTTTTTTTAACATTTATTTATTTTCAAGAGACAGAGGGAGACAGAGTGTGAGTGGGGGAGGGGCAGAGAGAGAGGGAGACACAGAATCGTAAGCGGGCTCCAGGCTCTGAGCTGTCAGTGCAGAGCCCAATGTGGGGCTCGAACCCACTAACCATGAGATCATGACCTGAGCTGAAGTCAGACGCTTAACCAACTGAAGCAGGCGCCCCTTACTATGTTTATTTTTAACTGCCCCTATATCATAAGTACCTTAAAGATAGAGACTTTCCCATAGAGCCATATACAGTATCATGTAATATAGGATATACATATGTTACACATATATAGGATATATATTGGATTAAAAAAAAAGGTACAGTATGGTTGAATTCTTGAATTTGATATGAAATAAACATAACATCCTCATTAAAATTTAAATGTTGTACAAAAATATAACGCCATTTTTGTTTTGTTTTGTTTACCATTTAAAATATTTCAAATGTGGGGCGCCTGGGTGGCGCAGTCGGTTAAGCGTCCGACTTCAGCCAGGTCACGATCTCGCCATCCGTGAGTTCGAGCCCCGCGTCGGGCTCTGGGCTGATGGCTCGGAGCCTGGAGCCTGTTTCCGATTCTGTGTCTCCCTCTCTCTCTGCCCCTCCCCCATTCATGCTCTGTCTCTCTCTGTCCCAAAAATAAATAAACGTTGAAAAAAAAAATTTTTTTTTTAAAATAAAATATTTCAAATGTCTGATAATTTCATATTGCCCTAAGCCTTTAATTTACATCAAGTTTGTCTCCCCATCAATATCTTTATTTAAAAAAATTTTTTGTCACTACAAATGTCCAAGCACTCTATCAGATTCAGGAGCCTTAACTCAGTACCTGAATTTACAAAATTACTTAATCAATTGAAATAATATAATTTTAATTATGTTGATTTGATCATCTGGGAAATGCAATAAGAAAGTAACAAGAGAGTAAGAAATAGTGTGATTATAAGTATTTTAATGATGAACCTCAATAAAATAAACTTCTACTATTTCAATTTTTCCTAGGATATCCGTAGAGGTTTGGAGAGCAATGTAAATGTTGAATTATTGAATGCTTTACATAGCCACATGGTTAATAACAGAATGTTGACCAAGGACTTAAAAAATGGCATGATTATTCCCTCAATGTATAACAATTTGGGACTTTTCATTAACCATTATCCTAATGGGGTAAGTTTCCTTAATAAAAAGTACATTTCTGAGTAATAGCACCCTTAATTTTTTCTATACCTTTTTATAATGTTCACAGAAACAGTAAAATGTTAGTGACTGTAAGTACTATATTATGCCTTTTCCCCACATTTATAGCATGTAAATTTCTAATTCAGTGGCTGATTTCTACTAGAGAGTGATTGTGAGGAAGAAATTAAATTCACAGTTGACTGATAGCAGACTTAGATGTTCTTAATAAAGGAGATTTTACTAGTTGATGTGTTTTAAAAATAACAACGTAAGAAAAAATAGTAAATAAGAGTTTACAAAGAATAATCACAGAATAAGTATTCCTTTATTCATCCTCTACCTACTGTACTGATTTATGTTCTTGTGTATTTAGAGAAGAGTCTTTGTGGGAAACTTCCAGCAGAGTCATAGGCTCTTTCAACAAATTTCCAGGGATGAAAAGGGTCAACAGTGAGGCAATAATTAGGAAATCGCTGCAATAGAACTGATTATATTTGTTCAGTAATTATTTCTTTCTCTCAGAACTTATTTTAGGACCGATAGACTTTTTTTAATGTAACTCATTGATCTGCATTTGAAATAGTTTATGACTATGTCTATAAAGGGAAGAGAAGGAAAAAAAGCAATAACTCAAATGAAAAAAAATGCTTTTTTTGCCTTAGTTTCTAGATTTGTTGAGTGTAACTGGATAGGGTTTTCAACTGGTCCTATTTCCTCTTAGTTTCTTTTTTAGAACAATATATGTCTTCATCCTCAACATTTACATTTAGAATGTTGGTTCCTTCATGTTACATTTACTAGCAGAAATGAAAAATAATGGCCTTGCAGTCTCAGTGGTCAATGGATGGCTCTGATTTCTGCACTTGGATTTTCCCAAATAATTATAGGTTGTCACTGTTAACTGCGCTCGAATCATCCATGGGAACCAGATTGCAACAAATGGTGTTGTACATGTCATTGATCGTGTCCTTACGCAAATTGGTACCTCAATTCAAGACTTCATTGAAGCAGAAGATGAACTCTCATCTTTTAGAGTAAGTATAAGAAATAACAGCAGATTGCCTTGGACCATTGAAACATCTTTCTCTCTCAGCGTCTAACCATAAAATGCTATTTTAAAACTCTGGCAGAAATATAATAAATGTGTTTCTTGAAATGAAAAGACTTTTATTTTACACAGAAGAAATCATCTCCTATGACATCATCATATTTATTTGGACACGACAGATAAAGAATGGTTAGTTATGTGCCCATAGTGTATTTGGTGTATTTAGTATGTGTCCATCTCAGTTACATGTACTGCTGGATATTGCTACAGTCAAACAAGCATGGGCAGAATTCCCATTATTACAAAAAAAGTTGGAAAGGACATAGTTGGTTGTGTCAAAAAATGTTTTAAAGATCTAGCAAGAACAAACTTCTATAGTTTTCTATAGAATCAGCTCCCTGCATCAGCCTAGGTGAAGTGTGTTGTCATTTGCCTTTGGATTTGCAGTGTGCAAGCCTCTAAAAAGCATGTTTGTGTTTCAGGCAGCTGCTATCACATCTGATATTCTGGAGGCCCTTGGAAGAGATGGTCACTTCACTCTCTTTGCTCCCACCAATGAGGCTTTTGAGAAGCTTCCACGAGGTGTCCTAGAAAGGATCATGGGAGACAAAGTGGCTTCTGAAGGTACTAAAAATGTCCTCCTCTTTGAGAACCCTCCCAGAATTCCAAGAAGAAAAGAGAAAAAAAAAAAAAAAAGATTGAGTCATGCCAAGATTATCAGCTTTTATAAGCAAAGGCAAAGAAAAACTTTTGTTCATAAGGTGGACTCTAAAAATCTTAAAAGAAAACAAAGCCCTTGAAAGAGTAGGCAGAGTAATTAAATAATGAATTTAAAAGATAAGAATATCCTAAAGATCACATTCCTTTTGTACTGCTTTCAAGTAAATAAATAGCAGGCAATAAAAAGGATTTAGCCATTGTTGAAAATAAATATTAGATCATCAAATTTTAATATCATATATGTATTATGCGATGCTTTTCATTTTAAATTTATGCTAAAAGATATCATTGAGTTGAGAAAACTTCATGGTTCTCTTTGGCCATTACTTATTTGATACACAGAATTTGCCTTCTTTCTAATCTCCCTTTCTATTTTCAAATAGATTTTACATTGTGAGTAGTACATTTAACTTAGCCTCTCCCAAAATATATTTTGACTGATTTAAAATGAAAAACTTGGATGATGCAGATATGGATAGAATACAGTTGAGGCATTAAAATTCTTTCAGGTATCTTCCAAGAAATCATCTTCATTTTGTCTACTCTCCAGATGTTTTCTTTAGGGAATGATTTGTCTTACCCTACTAATCTCCCGCTACTAATGTCTTTACAAATTATATGTAGACATTCTGTTATGAGTGGCTAAGGCAAGAGGTTGCTTGGGCACTTAGGAACAGTTATCACAAATAAATACAGGCCTTTTGAAAGGAGCAACTCTTCTTTTTTTCACATCAGAAATTACTTTCTTATGACAGTGAAAAGTTTCTCTAACACATTTTCTAGTGCTACACAAATCATTTCACACAACTGACCTCTTCTTCCTACTGAGCTGAGCTATTTCTATTGTATAGTTAATGGAAGAAGCATTCCTAGAACATAAACAGAATTTTAAAATCTTCAGCCAATACCTAGGTCTTATATGTATTTTATTTTTTAGGAATAATTAGTTCCACAGTGAAACACATCTCTTAAGGGTTAAGTGCAGTTTCTCTTGATCTAAAAACTTGCTGTTTTTAATTTATTCTCCAGCCCTCATGAAGTACCACCTTTTGAACACCCTCCAGTGTTCTGAGGCAATTATGGGAGGAGCAGTCTTTGAGACTCTGGAAGGAAACACCATTGAGATAGGATGTGACGGTGACAGTATAACAGTAAATGGAATCAAAATGGTGAACAAAAAAGATATCGTGACAAATAATGGTGTTATCCATTTGATTGATCAGGTCCTAATTCCTGATTCTGGTGAGCAACAGTTTCATATTCTTCTACCTACTACTGTTTACCAATTATGATGCCTCAAGAATAAGTCTATGAAAAATGAATGTGTAGTATAAGGAATGGTATGTGAAGCACAGATACAAAATAGTGAACTGAGTACTAAAATAGGTAGCTTGTTAATCACAGGCATTCCATGCACGGAACATCAGCTTTCCAGAGTTTCTAACACTTAATAATTTATCAAGGTTCTCAAAGTACCATGGTTTTTCCTGAAAACAGAGGGAAAGATATAACCAAATGGTCAGCTTTGGATAAATGAAAGAACTATGGCATTCGCAACAGCAGAGAGAGGAGGAAGATGAGGAATAGAGAATTAAAGACAATGAAAAGTAAGAAGCCAGAAAGATATTTTCTTTTTGAAATTTTCTGTATCAACCCCAAAAAAGGGAATCTGGAACTATTACTAGGGAAGGGCAGACCATCTTATCACATTGTGATTGCAGTAAATAGCTTATAGAAAACAGCCAAGAATTGATTTACTGACTTCAGAATGATGATAATAACAATGATGACGTTGTTGGGATGGTGATGGTTTCCTTTACAGCTAAACAAGTTATTGAGCTGGCTGGAAATCAGCAAACCACTTTCACAGACCTTGTGGCCCAACTAGGCTTGGCATCTGCTTTGCGGCCAGATGGAGAATATACTTTGCTGGCCCCTGTGAATAATGCGTTTTCAGGTATGTACTGGATACTGTCATTCCTACTCTCCCACCACCCCCCACCAACCTTCATGCACCGTTTTCCTTCACCATGATTGTCTGCATTAAGGAATAATAGACATTCTACAAGGTGCTGATTATTACTTTATTGACTACACATCATTAGCACTACGTCGTCTCTGTTAAAATGTCCTTCATTTCAAAACGTTTCATTAGAATAGATAGTAGCCTACAGGGAGTGAAAGTTTTTGATAAAGGATGTTCAGTTATTCTATGACTCTAATCATGTTTCCAGCACACATAAGGTATGTATTAATAGACCTTAAGAAAAATAAATCTGATTTATTTAACACCAACATAATATTTAAGAAAAAATAAGTATATTTTCCATCTCAAAATTTGATGTGAGGTGTCAAATTATAAATAAATAAAAGCAAGAGTCTATTTATTATCACTTTCATATTATGATGTAAACTATTATTATAAGTATTTTATCTAAGAGCTGCTAATCAAGGATGGTGTTTAGATTAATGCAACCTGCCACTTTTTCCAGAAAAGTGATTTCATAAAGATGTATTTAAATTATAAGGCAAAATTGAGTAGTTAAAAAACAAGCATTATTTTTAAAATATTTTTTGAAATGCTAAATTGTGGTACATAGTGTTATTAACAAAAAATTCAAATTCCTAGAAATACTATTATTCCTCTTTGTAATAACTATATCCACATGTGTTGACATTAATCCACATTTAAGAGAGTGTATGTATTTTGATTTTCTCTTCAGAAGTAAATATAAATTTATAAATGATTCATCCATAGTCTTTCATGTGATTAATGTATATCAAATTCTTGGAAAAAATCTTGGCCAATATTAGAGCTTACCTTTCGCCAATGACCACACAACACTATGTAGCCCTTACAGAGGTGGAGTCCATCGTTTGGACTCCTCCGAATGATGTTATCAAATCAATGTTATCATCAAATGATATTCATTTGATGGAATATCTCACAGAGTTCCTAACTGGTGCATAGAATTCATAGCCTTGAGCAGTTAGTTGACTCATATACGTTTTAAGCGCAGAATCCACAATATGGATAGTATTAGGGATTTCCCATTTTCATGATTTTCTCTTACCAGGAGGAATTTTAATGCTTTCTAATTAATCCTTGTCCTCGTGAATTTATTTATAGATGATACTCTGAGCATGGATCAGCGGCTTCTTAAATTAATTCTGCAGAATCACATACTGAAAGTAAAAGTTGGGCTTAATGAGCTTTACAATGGACAAAAACTTGAAACCATTGGAGGCAAACAGCTCAGAGTCTTTGTCTATCGAACAGTAAGTAAATCAGGAAAATATAAGACATCCACATTGGCCTAAATGTCAAATGACATGTCCTTGTCTAAGAATGGTGTTATAATGAATGTTTCTAGAACTTTATTAATGTGGTTTTATAATAGTAAATATTCAGAGGAGGATCAAGGAACTGAGTAATGTATGAAAAGACTGTGAAGAAAGGACACAAAAAGTGCAATGTAATAATAAATCAGATAATTTGAGTTTGTTTCATTACAAATAACTTTATGTTCTAAGGCATTTATTATTTCAATTCTAGAAATCACTAAAAGTTCTCTAAAGCAAGCTTTTGATTTATGAAGTCTTGTGCAGTTTACAAGGTAACTTTTTATAGACACATAAAGATCTCTGATGTCTATAAAATGGCTCTGACATATTTTTTCTGAGGGAAAATTTCTAGAAAGTATTACTAATGAAGATTACAATTCAACTAGAAGTGCTGTTCAATTTCTGTCCAGGTAACAAATGCATCTACAGCTCAAAGGTTTCATAGGAAGTCAAGCATTACCTGATAGGGCGCACAGCAGCTGCTCACTATGGCTCCACAATTCCATGACACATATTTTACAGGCTGCAGAAAATGGGCTGCATATACATATATTTGTTCAAAAACACTACAAAATAAATTGATAGGGACTCGCAGTCAGGAAAATATAATAAATATTTGTGAAGATCACAAAAGGCACTGAAGTCAGGAATAAAGAAGGTCCTAAAGAGTTAAAGGGCAAAAGTTTCTTAAAGGGGGTGTGGAAGAATGGTTAGAACCTGGAGACGAATGATGAAAGATGTAGGCATGGAATTCTATGGAATTTTTGTGACTTCCTGATGAAACTATTTCCTGGTGAATTTTTGTTATTTCCTGATGATGATACATAGAGTAGCCTAGCTAGTAACTGACCGAATAAGAAGTGTGAGATCAGATTGTGCCAGACCATAAAAACAGAACTGAGATGCTGTTTCTTCCAGTCACAGAGGTCAGAAGACCTCTTAGAAGAGTCATTCCAGAAACTCAACTATGCAACTACTTCCACTTAGGACATCTCGATTAAGGAAATGTACAGCTGTGTCTTTCTTTTTTTTGCTAGGCTGTCTGCATTGAAAATTCATGCATGGTGAGAGGAAGCAAACAAGGAAGAAATGGTGCCATTCACATATTCCGAGAGATCATCAAACCAGCAGAGAAATCCCTCCATGAGAAACTAAAACAAGATAAACGCTTTAGGTAAGCCTATTAATTTCATTTATACACACACACACACACACACACGAGAGAGAGAGAGAGAGAGAGGGAGCAAGAATTATTAACATAGTTTTGTTTCATAGTATTCCAAAAGGCATTCAGTATTCAATAATACTGAACGTAGAATTTACAGTAAGAAGTCCATGCAAATGTTTTCAAAACTGAAATATGTTAACACTATTTTACTTCCTAGTTCACCATAATATGATTTGGTGAGTGAAACAATTTAATAGATTGACTTATTCCTTGCAAATTTTTTTTGTATTTAAGTTTTTAAATTTTTT